TATATATATATATATATATATATATATATATATATATGGATGGAAAACGTATTGGTGGAATTGATTTTATACAGCAGAGAGTAGATGTGGAAATATTTTGTGCATTTGGAATTGATATTACACAACGCAATTTCTACGTTTATATTCATCGTTGTAGCAAAGTAAATTTTAACCCAATTTATTAGTGTTTTAATGTATTTTGTGTATTTATAGCGAATTTGTCTTTGCACAATCGTCTATTTAGGTAAAATTGCTTTGCAGCAAAGATTATTTTAAGCAAGTGCATGATTTTACGCATATATTTGTTCTACACAAATTTATTTTGGCCCAATGCAAGTGGCTGTGGATGCATTGCGCACGACTAGAATTTATTTTACTCAAAGTAATATTTAAGTGAACATTGATGAGCAGGTGTGTGGACACATTCTGCACAAACGAAATTGTGGAGGTATAATTTGCATTAGTAAAACTAATTTTGCACTAATGCGTGTATGTGTGAATGTATAAGAAGCTGTTGAATTTGACATTACTGTAAGCTGTGTTGTTCTTTTAATATGGATTAGTAAAATTGATTTCATACTAGCATATGTGTGCATGCATTATGCACTACGAAAAAATGAGTCTACGCAAAGGCATGATTTGGTGGATGTAATGTGTATTCGTGAATTCTGTTTTTCACCAATACAAGTGTTCGTTGTAAAAGTATGCATAGATAAAACTAATTTTAATCAGTTGCGCATTCAAATGGGGCTGATTTTGGGCTAGTTTATGTGTGCTTGTATGGATGTTGTATGAGTGAAATTGATTTTGTCATAGTTAAGTCAGTTTTAGTTTAATGCATATTTGCGTAAACATAATATATATTGATAGAAATCATTTAACATTAGGGCATAAGCGGGATTTTTTTGGGTGACTTTGATTTTACGCCATACACAAAGGTATAATCCAGCTAATTTGTTTAGTTGTAGCTAGCTTGATTATTTAACCAAAGAATATTTGTGCAAGAGGGTTATGTATTATTGAAATTTACTTGGCACCAAAGCGACTCGTATGGATGTGTTTTTACTGGTGTTAAATAGGTTTCGCTACCTAAATAAAACATTTTGCACTAAAGTATATGCGTTGCATGTATTTCATACTAAAGATAGCATTTTTTTGTTCTGTCTTAGCAGCATTGCTTGTACACAAAGGCATGTGAGTGGATGTCTTTTTAATAGCAAAGTTGGTTTAAAACAGGAATTACATGTAAGGAAGCCGTTTTATAACGGTGATATTAGTTGTTAATCAAGGCATATGCAAGAGAATCTTATTTATAACATCAAAATAGTGTTAGCTATGCATATTGTTTAACTAGTAGGGAATTAAATTCAAGGCGTGTGCGTATACGCATATTCTTTATTAGTGGAACTGATTTTAAGCAATGGCAAGTGCATGATGGTAAATTTTGTGTAAATAATACTGACTTCACACCAAAGCCTGTGCACAAAGATATGTTTTTAGCAAAATTTTTTGGCAGGGTGTGTATAAGCGGATACCAATCCTATTACTGATATAGGTTTTACACAAAGGAATGCGTGTGAAGTTACTTTTACTGGCTAAGTTGATTTTGCTGAAAGGAATGCGTGTGTAAATTATTTTTGTCATTGAATTAGATTTTACACCAATGCGTTTGCTAGCGGACGTGTTTAATTTGGAAAAAAAGTGATTTTTTACCAGGGTATGTACGTGCGGATGCATTTTGTACGAATGAAACAGATTTTTTTCGAAAATAGAATATTTGAGTAGGGCGGTCATATAATTATTATTATTTTAACGCATATATTTGTTACAACGAGATTAATTTTAGTCTGACGCAAGTGTATGGATGAATTTTGTTTGGGGAATTGATTTACACAAAGGCTTGTTCAAGCGGACATTTTATGATGTAATTAAAAGGACTGTAGCAACGGATGTGTATGAGGATATATTTCGTAGAAGTGAAACTGATTTTTAACTATGTTCATATGTGCATGTACTGTTTTATTAAAATAGGTTTCACTACAGAGTATAAATTCTTTTTAATCTGCGGCAAAAGTTAATTTTACGCCAAAGCCTGTGTCAAGTACTAGTGAATTTGGGTTCATACAAGGGAATGCTTCTTGTAGGCGTAACAATGATTTTACCCTAATGCACGCATGCGGTTGTATTTTGTGAAATAAAAATACAATTTGTCATCTTTTAACATAGTTTTCTTGATATTTAACCAACATATGCTTGCGTGGGCGCATTTCTATAAAAATGAAAAATTTTAAGCTGGGCCATGTGCATTTGACCTAGATTTTTCTTATTAAAGTATATTTTACACTGGAGCATACATGTGAATATATCGAGTATAAGTGACATCACCTTTAAACCAACATATACTTGTGGGGACGTAGATTACACACCAAGGCATGTGCATGTGGATGGTAGTGTCAAATTTATTTTACTACAAGGCATGTGTGCGTCGACCGGTTTGCACTAGTGAAGTTGATGTCTCGTTTTTTTATGCAAGGGCGGATGAAGTTATGGCAGTGAAATAATTTTTTACATATTTATGTGCGTGTGAATAAATTTGCGCAAGGGAGTGAAGAACGACAAACGGATGATCTTTAAAACGTATTTTAGCTATTGTCGATACATGGCATGTGACATTTATGGAGCGTTTTTCCAATGGCGAGGGCACAAAATTTACCCAATCTTGTCTGCGCTTTTAAGTGTGCGCATTTACTTCGCTGAAAAAAAACAGGTAAAACTTGTTCAGTGGGCAAGTTGCCGCTACTGAATTATTTCAGTAGGATGAACCAACTTCTAACTCGACGCCTGTTAAACAACTCCTCATTGCATCATTTTTATGTAGGGAAAACAAAAGTTGGCATTTAAACCGGTTGTCTAGTTTATTAATTTGTGCTTCTTTTAGTTAGTAAACTCCCTGAATTTGTACAGCGCACGTCTATGCTAAATTTAAACAGAAACCTTGTTAAAGAGACACAAATGAGGTAACCACTCAAAAAAATCTTTTATCATAGCATCAAGGGATGCACCACTAGATTGAATAATTCATCTACTACTCACAAAACCAGTACAAATGGGCCCACACTAGTCCCTCAAACTCGACCGGTCAATTTAATAAAATATTTGGTACAACATTTTATCATAGGCAGATAAAAAGAAAACCCTGTTCACTCTCACAGGCAAAAGGTCAGCCTCAAGCAGGTGATTCGGGTCAACACTACTACACTTAAAAGAATAGCATCGATAGTAAAATAGGATTAAAAGCCTTGATGATCCGTACTTTTGTGATGCCCATCAAGTCTGCAAATTGAGTGCACCCATCAACCACGTCTGAATGACGACATTGCGGGGGAAGTGAATCACCGCCTCATTGACTGTCGGTGATATCTTACCAGCTGCAAAGAACTTGTAAGATTTGTAAACATGAGGCTGCATGCATGAGGTTAGCCTGAATGTGAAAGAGTGTTAAAGGGCGACAATTAATTCGACAGTGGGCCAATAGCACGAAATATTGTCGGTTAAAATGTACACACACAAATGGGATAATTTCCACATGCAGAGACAAATTATACAATGTTTTTGAAACCATCTTATATTTAAATGCATTGAAACAGCCTTTTCACCTTATTTAGATGTGTGCGGTGGAGTTTGCTATAATGATTTATCTGCAGCCCTAACGATAACCAAAAGGTAACTCAATGAGTGACATCAATCGCTTGATAAAAAAGGGCTAATAAGTTGGTGGTGTGATCAGCCCCTCTGGATTTTTTTACTTACAAAAAAACATAGTGCTTACTTTACTGAAGTGTACAGCCATCGTGGCCATGCTTTCTAAGCAAAATTCTTAGTGAATGACAAATTATAGATTAGCCTTTCAAATGTATTTCCCTCCACATTAAACTTATATTCAGACAAGATTTTGACTGTTTTCGCATGATGTGCTTTTGGCGTTATCATCCCAATATTTTTCATCTCTCACAGCTGAAGAGATTTACCTGATGACCTTGGTGCATCGCTCAGATGTTAT